GGCTGAGGGCTGGGATGAGCTGGGCTCCCTCCAGGGCCACCTGTGACTCCTTTTTGGTTCCTCCACCCTGCAAAGGACAGGATGAGAGGGTCCTGGCACTCTGGCTGTGGCTCAGAAACGCAGGGAAGGGCCTGGTGTCAGGGACAATGCTCCTGGAATGAAGGGACAAAGGAACTGAGGCGCTGGAGGGTACAGGGCAGGAGGGGACAGAGCGAGTTGGCAGGTCATTAGTGCCAGTGCTCACGCTGTTGAGCCTGGATGGCTAAGCAAGAGGCGCAGTCCTTATTCACCAGCCGTCCCACATCAGTGATGTTATACAAACCAACCTGTGAACCAAGTCCCCATGGAAACCTATCTTTTAGCCATGCTGTCTGCTCACATTTTATTTGCCTGATTATTTTTCCTTTTTAAACTCGATTCCCATTCAACTTACTGGGAAAGTATAAGGCAGCAACTACTGGGTGCAAGTCATGGGCCAACAGGTCTAAGAGCCAGGTCAAAAGAAGTTTGCTTAGAGGAGCAGCTGACATGGTTGCTTCCTGCTGTCCCCCAAGGAGCATGATGCCAGCTTAGCACCAGCAGCCTGAGAAGTGGGTATCTTTCCTCTATGTGAAGACCAGTAGGGAGTGTGGCAGAACGCATGAAGAGACAGCAGCTCACCATGCTCTGCCTTACCTCCGTGAGTCCCTTCTGGAAAAGTCTCTCGAGTGATAAGAAATTTAAGAATTTTTAAAAAATAGAGTCCTTTCTCTGCAGAAAGGGACAGTCTAGTCTAGCAAGGGTTCCCAGATCAGCAGATCGCACAGAGTAGCTGCAGGAAGCTGACAAGGGCAGTGGCAGATCTCATTTCAAGAAGGATGCTTCTGGCCACCGTGGCGAGAAGGGCAAGCCTGAGAGTAGGGAGCATTGGCCAATGGCCCGGGCTATGGTCCCTTCACCTAAGGCAGCAGCAGGGAGTGGGTGGGAGGGGCTGGAGATAATGAAGAGAGAAACCCATGCTGCTATCTGAACATGCCTAGGTGCTATCTGAGAGGGAGCACAGAGCTTTAGGGAGTCACAGGTCACTTTGGGGGAATGGAGCAAAGGGTAATGCCACTAATAGACAGTGGAGACCCACCCTCACAAGTGTCTCTCTGCCCACTTAGCAGCCAAGTCTGTGATGCTGGGAGCCCTATCCCTCAGATCTAAGGGGCAATTGGATGCCCATGCCAGCCTTCCTTTATGGTCTGCCAGTGCTGCACCCTAACAGACCTCCCTCGGTGTTGACAGAGAAGCCCTCCTGGAACACTGACTAGGCCAGTACTGGTCAATTTTTAGTTACTGTAATGAAATGCCTGAGGCTGGGATCTTCACAAAGAAAAGAGATTTATGATGGCTCACTGTTCTGCCCCATGGTCAAGGGGCTGCATGATGGCCTTCTTTGCAGTGTCCATGGGTAGCACAGGACATCACATGGCAAGAGACAAGTAATATGTTTTGTCTGTGCTTGTCTTTTTTCTCTTAATGCCACCAGTATTCAATCATGGGAACTCCACTGAGATGAACTTATCCAATTCTAATCACTCCCTAAAGGCCTTGCCTCTAAACTCTATAGTTAGATTAGGTTCTACTCTCTTACTACCTCCCAGTGGTGATTAAATTTCAGCATATGAACCGTTGGGGAAAACAATCAAATCACTATGCAAACCATTCTGCCCCTGCCCCATAAGATTAGTCCCTCTCTGAATGCAATCTCATCCCCAACAGTCTGAGAATCTTAACTTTTTCCAGCATTATTTCAAAAGTCTGAAGTGTCACGTGAGACACAAGGCAAACTCCTTGCACTTGTGAGCGTATAAAATCAAGACATATTATCTATTTCTAGGATGCAATAGCAGGGTAAACATGCCTATTCCAAACAGAAGGAACAGGGAAACTGAAAGCCATTACCCCAGAGCAAGGCCAAGACTCAGGAGGGCAGATATTGCAAGTCTGGCGTCTTTGCACACCGCAGTGAGGGGTAGGCTCCTAGGGCCTTAGTATGGTTTTCTGGCCACAGGCCTTGGTTAGTCTCTCATGCAGCCCTCCTCAGTGGGAGTTGCATATGACTCAGTTTACGCTTTCTGGGATCCCGGGCAAGTGTCTACTCCTATGGTCTACTAGGTATTGCCCCACCAAGGACTCTTTGTAAGAGTTCTGACATCATGACTAACTTCTGCCTGATTTCCCAAGCTTTCTTTTGAAGCCACCATAATACTGCAGAAGCTCTTGCAGGCATTCTGCATACCTGCAAAGTATCACAACATAGAACCCCCAGTGTAGCACCGGCACAAGCTGCAACCAGGTCTGCTTAACTCCAGGCCTTTTTCCAATGGTCCCAATGCAAAGTAAGTGCCTCTTTTTAATTCACTAATCACCTTAGCAGTGGTTTCTCAGCCACACCCTTACATGCCTTTTCTTAGCTCTTTCCTTGGCCAGGCTGTAAATTTTCCAGGTTTTTCTGCTTTGCTCTTTAGCTCCTAAATCTCACTGTAGATCTGGCTAAAAGCCAATAATACCCATGTTGCAAACCGAACATTTTGTTCTTTTTTTTGAAATAGCCCTTGAAAAACAAACTAATCAATCCACCACCTTTATGTTTAGTCTTCCCCAAAGTCTTAGGCATCAGACTTGCACAGAAATGCTACAGCAGGCACTTCGCTACTTCATGACAAGGATGACTGAGCACTCCTCCAGGTCCCAGTAGGCTTTTCATTTCCAGCGGAGACTAATTCCCTAGTTTCTTCTGAACAGCACCAAAAAAAGCCAATAATGCTCTCTCCATAGCAACACGAGCTTTTTCCAGCCTGATCCTCCACATTCTTCCAATCTCTCCCCATTACCCAATTCCAAAGCCACTTCCACAGTTTCAGGTAATAGCCCCACACTCCCAGTACCTGTTCTCCCTACTAGTTTGTTTGCCAGACTTGAGCTGGGTGACATGAAGAAAAAGTTTTATTTTGACCTGGGTTCTTATTCAGTGTTAAGGACCTACATGTGGTTGTAGCTTTCTTGCTGGCGGACTCCCAGGAGAGTGCAGGACATCACATAACGAGAGACAGGGAACACACGTGTGTGTCTTTTCTGATCTCTCTCTTCTTGTAAAGCCACATGGATTCAATCACAGGGCCTCTACCCTGATGACCTTATCTAATTCCCTTCTCTGAAGGTGGGAAGCCCCCTACCTTCCTAAACTCTCACAAGTGAAATTAAATGTCATCACATGAACCCTTGGGGGGCACAATGAAATCATATGCAAACCACCACAAGGCCTTTGGAGACATATCCAGCATCCTATCCTGGCCCTTGCTTGGTCTTACATAAGTGCAGTTTAGGCCACTGATACTATTTTTAGTTTAAAATACTACTTAGGCATGGACTTCTTTTTTTAAATTAATGTTTAATTGCAAATGCAACCCATGAATAATTTGTAATTAGTTAATTCATCAAGGAGCTAATTTTAGAAGTGGATTGATAAATACAACTCCTGAGGCTGTTTCACACCCTGGTCTATTCTCTCTCATAACACAGCAGAAAGATATACACTTTTACTGCATTGCCAGCTGCAGTGCAATGGCTAACTTCACACATTAGTGGGCTACAGTGCTCAGCTGTGGTCAAGCACCAGGGCAGACATGGCTATGCAGTATTTTTAAAGACATGACTGACATTTAAATCAGATTTGCAGTGAAGCAGATTGCCCACCATGATGTGGGTGGGCCTTGTGCAATCAGTTGAAGCCCTAGGAACAAAGACTGAGATTTCCCTAAAAGAGAATTCTCCTCAAGCTTGCAACACAGAAATTCTGCCTGTGTTTGCAGCCTGCTGTTCTGTAGAATTTTGACCAAAAACTGCAACGTCAACCCTCCCTGGGATTTCCAATCTTCTAAGCTGCCATGAAAATTTAAGACTTGCCAGTCTTATGGTCTTGAGAACACCGTCCTTGTGACCTCTCCACACACATATGCATATACTATTGGTTCTGTTTCCGGCCAACAACACAGGATGCCTTTGATGGGTGGAGCTATCAGACCCATATTATAGCATCATCCTTTAGCTTCAAGCTGCAGCTATCTAAGACTTATTCTCTGAGCTCTTCTTGATACTACCCAGTCTGGCCTCAAGACCTTGAACTGGCCTTTCACTCTGCTGGGACACTGATTCCCAGGTTCCCGCTGGCTCTCACCTCCCTCATCCAAGGATGCTCAGCATTGCCTCTCACTCTACAAAACTGGGGCTCTATGCAAAGCGCCCCTCTGGCCTTCTCCACTTCCCTTCCCTGGTGAGTTTTTCTCCATAGATGTATCTGTACTCGATACATGACATACAGTCATCTCTCAGCAGAGGACGAGTTCCAGGACCCCCTACAGGTACCAAAAGGCATAGACGCTTGAGTCAATTGTATAAAATGGTGTCATATTTGCATATAACCTATATACATCCTCTCCTATATTCTGTTTAGCTCTTTATCATTCCTAATACAATATAAAAACTATGTAAGTACTTATTATACTGTATTTACAAAATACTGATGAGGAAAAATGTAGATATTCAATACATGCAAATTGTTTTCCAAATATTTCTAATCTGGGATTCATTGAATCCACAGAAGTGGAACCCAGAGGTATGGAGTACCAAATGTGTTAGTTCCTTTCTTATCTGATTTTCATGGCCTCTTCCTCAGTTGCTGGAAGATCAGACCCATGACTCTGCCAACGGTGTTGGTCCCTGAGGGCTCCCGACTGCCTTAAGTAGGCTGTGTATACAGCAGGAGCTCAGTAACTGCTTGATGTGGAATGACTGAACAGTTGACAGATTCAGGAACATGCAGCAGAAAGAGGCCTGCTCGTGGCGGGTCAGCAGCTCTCTGCCCTTGACTTGCCCTCCAATCTGGGTACTGGCCCTAGAGCAACTGCCTTCCATGGGGATCCGGTTCCAAGATCTACTCAATCAGCCCCTGATCATGCCCACAGCACACATACCAAAGGGGGGCAGCCGCTCTGCTTCCGAGGAGCACACATCCCTCTCCCGCGTCTTCCTGCCGTAGGTCGCAGAGTAGATGTTGAGCAACTTGGACTCATGGCAGTGCAGCTTCAGCTCATGGTCCTCGCACACAGTTTTGTTTTTTAATTCATCTGAAGCAGAAATAAAAATCAGCGGCACCATCAGCTTCCTTGGGAAGGAGTCAGTGGGGACTGCTCAATCCTGGCCACTAATTCAAGCTGCTTCACTCAGAGAAGGCCACAGTCATGACAAAGCCCTATAAACAAAGCCCTGGGGGAGGAACAACCTGTATACACCACGACCAACCCTGGAAACACACAGGCAAAAACTCAAGAGAAGCATCTAGGTAAACCTCAGCACAGATTCCACAACCAGCTTTGGTGTGGATATGAGTACTTTAAGTGTGCGTGTAGCTAAAAAGAGAGAAAAGAGTCTACTCTGGGCAACTAAATGAGCCTCTGAATCAAAATAAAAGAAATTTTAAAGGGGACATATAGCTCAGTGGTAGAGCTCTTGGGTAGCACACATAAGATCCTGGATTCCATTCCCAGCACTGAAAAACAAAACAAAATAAAAAACAAAAGGAGAGATAATACAAAAGCAAATGATGGGGGCTGGCAAGATAGCTCAGCTTTCTAAAGAGCCTGCTTAGGCAAGCTTAGGCAAAGCACAGGACCCCTCCCAGGCACAACATGCCACTCCAGTCCTACCCCCAGGGTGGGCTGAGCTGGCCAAAAAAAAAAAAAAAAAAAAAAAAAAAAAAAAGCAAATGATGGGAAGGTAAGGAAATGGACACAAACATGGTGCTATGGCAATGGTGAGCAGAAACACTGAAACAGCAGCCAGGATTTGGAAGCAGACTTATTTACATTGACAGGCACTGGTCAGATTCCTCATTCCCAGAATATCAGGTTCTGATCTCTGGTCTAAGGCTTATGTGGGATAAGCAAGCAGGAAGTACAGAGGCAGAATGGCTTGTCAACTGGGGATTGGTTCTTACGACATGATCATATTGACCAGCTATGCATCACAGCGACCAGCCATTTCTAAGAGACAGAAGCAACTGCAACTGGAACAGGAACTATTACCCAGGGAACTAAGAAACTGAAGTATGCTGGCTGGGGGGCAGCATTTTCTGTTACACTATGTCTGTGAAGTGGGCCCTAAACTAGTAACCCAGGATCAACTGTCCCTAGGGGCATTCTAGGCTGGGATCATTGGAATCAAGTGTGCTTTGTTCACAAAAAACATAGGGAAAAGCTTCTCTGTTAATCTGTTTACTGGAATAAAATCTTTTTTTTTGCAGTGTCATGCAGTGAAATCATAAATGCACTGAAGAGAAAACAGACTATTGATTTTTTTAGGGTATACTCCCAAACCACTCAATGAATACACATTTTAATGAAGATTTCATTTTTAAAATAGTAATTGCTAACATTCCAGACACAAAGGGCTCCACATAACATAATTCCAGGTACAGTAGGTCACCTCCCCAAATCCAAGGCTTAGCTTTCCAAGGTTTCAATTACTCCTGGTCAACCGCAGACTAAAAATATTTAATAGGAAGTTCTAGAGAGGTGAACTACACCCACAAAACATTTATTACAGTTGTTATAATTGCTCTATTTTATTATTATGTTTATCTTTCACTGTGCCTAATTTATAAACAAAACCCTAGCATGGGTATGCATATGCTTCAGGAATCCCAGAGAGGTCTTGGAACACACTCCTACACAGGAAGGGAAGCTACTGTACTGTGCTCTATCACTTGATAACAGGGATAGTCCTGAGAAACGTTTCATTGGGGAATTTCATCATTGTGTGGCCATAGGGTATGCACTTACACAATCAAGATGGTAGAGCCTGCTACCATGACCTGCTACACCTGGGTCACAGGGTATAGCCCATTGCCCCTAGGCAACAAATCTGCTCAGCACGTCTCTGTACTACTGAATGCCACAGGGAACTGTAGCACAATGGAGGGTATCTGTGTACCTAAATACATATAAACAGAAAAGATACAGTAAAAATACTAGGTGATGGGAAACTTACAGCTCTATTGTAATTTTATGGGACCACTATCATATATGCGGCCTGATACCGAGTGCAAGGTCCTTATGACACATGTGACCATCTACAAAATATCCGGAAAGGGTAAGTCTTTAGGGGGCAGAATTAGGATCAGTGGTTTCCTAAGACTGAAGGGCTGGGGAGATGGCTCAGTAGAATAAGCACTTCCCTGGCAAGTGCAAGGGCCTGAGCTCAATCCCTGGTTCCACAAAAAAAAAAAAAAAAGTGACAGTGTCATCAAGAAGGGACAGGAAATGGAAACAAACTTTTTGAGGTGATGGGAATGTTCTAGAGCTGGACTGTAGTTGTAGGCATACAACTCAGGAAACTTACCAAAGGTCATCAAATTTTATGCTCAAAATGGGAGAATTTATATGTTATATAAATTATAAATCAATTAAGATATTTTTTTCAGTGTGTTTGCAATATACAATAGCCATGTTTACTTGAAGAAATTGGCATATGCATATAACATGTCTTGATTATTTTTTATACCATTATCCTTCTCCTTTACAAAATGAATAATAACTAATATTTATTGAACAGGTTCTCCCCTCCAAGCTATTCTAAGAGCTTTAGCTGAGTTGATAAATTTAATATTCAAAAGCCCTTCAGTAAGCTACTTTTTCATATCCTTTGCATGTTGCCTTTTAGTGATTGCTTGAAGGAGCCAATCACATAATGTTAACTTTTATGATTTCTATGTTAGAAAATTCCTCTCATGTGGGCTAGGGATAAAATTCAGCGGCACTCCTGGTTTCAATCCCCAGGCCACAGGAAGGAAAAGTTCAGGCTCTCAACTTGGCCAGCAGCATTAGTGCTGCTAACGCCCAGCGCTGTTCTGAATGCTGTCCTCCCCCTTTGCCACACTTGCTTTCTGTGGTTTTAGCTATCTGCATAGTCAACCGCAGTCCAAAATTTTATTTTTATGTATGCATGTATGTATGTATGTATGTATTTAAAACAAGACTACTTTTCTTTATTGGTAAACATAAGATGGTTAATTTAGCATCTTTTGCAAGCTTCCTGCACCAGCACACACATTCTCAGCATGAACTGCTGAAGTCCCAGCACCAGAAGCACACAACACAGCAAGAAGGCAAAGGGGCTAGGAGCAAGGTGTTCACGGGTTCAAACTTTGGGACTGAAACAGCTGGTAGAAAGGCACCAAATTGGGGTGTGCAGACTTGGCAGCTGGGGACAAGGGGTCAGCCAAGGCACCCAACATCTTCAACAGGTCATGGAACCCCACAAAGAGCTTCTAAGGCTGCACAGGGCCTGGTGGGAAAGAAGCTGTGGGCCACTCAGGGAAGGTGGTGGTGAGGGGTCTGAGAGCAGCACAGAACTGTCCTTCCCCAGCCTCTGGCTGCAGACAACATTGCCCCAGACCTGGAGGCTGAGTCTGGGCTCCCCTCAGGGTAGTCATGGACATGGGCTGTCGTCCAAGCACACTGTTGAGGTCAATTTGGCTATCCAAAGACCTTTTCTTCCTGTACGGTGAGGTACAGGGGAGCCCTGCAGTCTGGGAGGTCCCCAGAAACCAGACCCCCTCATGGGGCTGATTTTAGAAAAGGCAGAAACTGCCCAAAAGGTACCCAGACAAGTATCCCACATCTGTGGGGTGACCAAGGGAAGCAGATCCAGAGACCCTTTATCCCCTCACTTCTTTTTGGTATCACATTTATTGACTGGACAGGATGTCACCTCCTGATAACCTCTGCCCCAAACTCTTAGGACACATGCAGTCACCTTGGCATGGGACAGGGAGAAGGTGGTTGAAAAAGGACTTGGTGGCCCAGGGATAGAGCTCAGCTCAGCAGCATAGAGCCTGCCTGGCAAGCATGAAGTCATAAGTCTGATTCCTGGTACTAAAAACAACAACAACAACAAAAAACAAACAAACAAACAACAACAACAACAAAAAAACCCTACTTGGAATCTTGAGTGACTTCCCAGGAAGGGAGTGAAGAGGGCCCCAAAGCCAAGGCTGAAAGACCTTGGTCCTTGGCTGCAGAACCTCAAAGGACACAGAGACATTTTTCAGTTGGGTGTCAGCAGAAACTGAACCCCCAAAAGTGGGGGTGGGGGAGATTGTCAAGGAAAGCAGCCCCCAGCAACTGTCTATTCACCGGGGGTGTCACTGCGGGCCTGAAGCAAAAGCCTGCAGTCTGGTTCTCTGGCGGCTCATGAGGGCAGCTTTGGCATCGCAAGAGCTAGGCTGGTCCCTTGTCGCCAGAAGATAAATTTGAGCTTATGAAGAGAGGCTCACATGCCAAGGCCCATCTCATACCCAACCTCAACATTCTGCCTTTCCACCCCAAGTATAGGGCTTCAGCCCCAGAAAGAGGATGACTCCAGGGAGCCGTGGGTCACCTCCCACTGGAGTGCAGGTTGGCAGGAAGGAGGTGGCCAGAACCCTAAATCTTCTACTCCTGAACCTGGAAGCCCCTCAGGTGCACCAGAGGGGTTAGACTTTCTTAGGCAAGCACCTGGAGACTGGAGATGTTACTCTGAACCAGAGCTAGGAAGTGACCTGCACACTGGATCTGTCCTTTTACGTTAAGGCCCACCAGGTGCCAGGGTCCCTACCTCCCCCTCAAAGGTCCAGGCACCACTCTGAAGGAGGCCCCTGCCTGCCTCACTGCACCTTCTAGAAAATGATGCCAGGGGCCCAGGGAGATGGCTCAGTAGAATAAGCCCTTCCCTGGCAAGTGCAAGGGCCTGAGTTCAATTCCCAGTTCTGAAAGAAAGAAAGAAAGAAAGAAAGAAAGAAAGAAAGAAAGAAAGAAAGAAAGAAAGAAAGCAAATGGTGCCAGGAAAGGGGGACCCTGGAGTTTCCCCTGCTTTTTCTCCCCACTCCCTGGGGGAAGCAGCTGTATGAGAAGCCTCTCTGACTCTGCCGCTGATCTCACCAGGCCGGAGGCTCAGGCTCAGGCGGAGCTGGGGGCTTGAGGCACGGGCCACCCAGGGGTCCTGAGATGTGATTGAGGTGGGGGCCTGGAGAGATAGGGCTGTGGGGAAGTCAGGCCCCAGCAAGGCAAGGAGACAGTGCATTACCAAG